GCCATGGAGATTGCGACCTCAACGGATGAAGAGTCGAAAAGCTCATCAGATGAGAAACCAGAGAACAACACTGGTAACTCCGAAGCATCAAGCTTCGAAGTAGAGGACCCATACGAAGGACCTCAATACTCACCCGACTCAGAGGGTGAGGAAGTCAACGTTGGGACCATAAGGATGGGCCCAATGTCAGTTGTCGACCATGATGACATAAATTACAAAATCAAACTGGCTGTAGCACGCCAGCTAGAAAACATGGCAGATGAAAAAGTCGCCGAAGCCTTGGTGGAAGCACCAAGAAAAGACGCCTTGGGGAAATACACCAAAGTACCCAAGGAAAACAAGGACAAAGGGAAGAAGGACCAAAAGTCCATCGAAACCCAGTCCCCCTTGTTTGATGCAAAATTCCGCATCTCAAAAGACGCGGGAAAATACCCCGCAAACAGACCGCTCTCAACGAAGAGAACGCTAACGGCTCACATAAAAATAGCAGGCATAAAAGCCTATGCGCTATTCGATAGTGGAGCCGAAACGGACACCTTATCGCCGGACTTTGTCCGCATGGTCCACATCCCGATTCTCCAATTGGAGAACCCAGTCGTCCTTCAAATGGGGACGAAAGGAACAAGATCACAGATCCTGTTCGGAACAAACGTGGACGTTGAGATCAACGGCCACGTAGAAAAACACTACTTCGATGTAATCAACATCGACAGATACGACGCCATCTTCGGCGCCCCCTGGTTAAACAAAAACCAGGTAAGCTTAGACTTCCGGTCCCACAAAGTGAGAACGGTGAACAAGGGCAACATAGACACCCTTGGAATAAGCGAAGACCGTGTGACAAGATCACACGGATGGAAAACTCGAGCAAGAGCTTGAGAACAACCAAAAAAGAAGCCCCCCTGACAGGGAGGTGGGATTGAAACACACCTCAGGGTAATCAAAAGAAAATACCCTGAAGGTTGGCCCAATCCTAGTCCGGAAGGACTAGAACTTCCAGACGTACCACACCTGGAAGGTCTCTCCATGAACAACCCCGAGTTCGAAACACTCAGGGAGTGGTGGAGAGAAAAATTCGAAACTGTAATGGCGCCAGCGCCATTAGAAATGCCTCCCTTGAGGGAGGTGAACCATCGAATCCCGTTGAAGGATCCGAACAAGAAATTTTGGGGAAACACCCTGAGATGTCCTGCAGCACTGCAGGAAGCACTAGCGACCAAAATAGATCGCTATGTAAAAGCAGGATGGTGGTATCCCATGAACAGCGAGCGAGCATGCCCGCTACTGTGCATCCGCAAAGCAGATGGATCTTTGCGCACGGTAATAGACGCGAGGAATTGTAACTCAAACATGATCCTCGACGTCACACCAATGCCAGACATGCGACTGATCCAAGAATCAGTCGCCAGAGCAACATACCGATCCAAGATCGATATGTCAGACGCGTATGAACAAATACGTGTGGACCCAGACAACGTCCATAGGACGACATTCTCTACGCCCCACGGGATGTACAACTCGAACACGATGCAGCAAGGAGACTGCAATGCTCCCTGCACCTTCCAGCACGCACTGACCTGGGAACTATGAGGAGAAGTAGGTAGACGCCTACACATCTGGTTTGACGATATATTCACCAGCACAAGCTCGGTGGAAAACCACAATAAAGCACTATTGTGGTTGTTCACTCGCCTAAAAGGGGCGAAATTCTACATAAGCCAGAAAAAATTCCAGCCATTTGCCCCAATCCTAGACGTTCTAGGAAGCTGTGTGGACGAACAGGGCATCCATGCTCAAGCGGATAAAATGGAAACAATCCGCAACTGGCAAGAGCCAGTAGACCACACAGGAGTCCTAAGATTCCTGGGAATGGTAGAATATCTATCGATATTCATGCCAAACGTGAGTGGTTACACAGGACCACTGCAAACAATCTGCTCAAACAAGCAGACATTCAGGTGGACACCACTCCACCAGAAATGCTTCGACGAGATCAAACGTCTAGCATGCAGGGCTCTGATCCTGAAGCCCGTCCAGTGGAACCCACCGGAAAGCCTCTCAGAAGAAGAGAGGACCAAACTCCATGTCTGGGTCATAACAGACGCATGCCCAGCAGGCATTGGTGCATTAATTGGACAAGGCAAAAGGTGGCAGACTTGCCGCCTGGCCGCATTCATGTCCAAAAAGTTCACCAACACACAACGTAGGTACTTCGCCTACGAGCTTGAGGCACTGGGTGTCCTCGAAGCACTCATGAGATGGCAAGACGACCTCATGGGAGGCCGTGAATTCACAGTAATCATGGACCACAAAGCTTTGGAATATTTCAAAGTGAAAAACCACAACTCAGGTAGACACCTGAGATGGCAAGCCTTTTTCGCAAGCTTCAATTGCGAAATAAAATACATGGAAGGCCACAAGAACAAAGTGGCAGATGCACTCTCACGATACTATGACTCGTCAATGGACGAGGATCTGCATTTCAACAACTATGTGTCGGCAGACATCCACCTGGACAAAAATGCAGAAGACATTATCCCCGACAGAATCGAGGAATACGAAGAACTGCTACTAAGCAGTACCCTGAGTAAAAACTCAGAGAGAAAGAGACTCGCAGCGATACGCATGAGAAATACCCTAGAGGAAGCTCTAGGGGGGAGCGATAACCTAGAGGAAACTCTAGGGGGGAGCGCCCAAAATCTGGAAGAAATCATAATTCCAGAAGAGAACATTCGAAAACAATTCGAAGAGAAAGACCTCATTGAGGCAATAAAATCTGGATACTCGAAAAGCCAGATCCACCGGGAAATCCTAGAGAACCCGGGAAATTTCAAAAACTTCTCTGTAAAAGATGGGCTGATAACCTGACTTGGAGAAGGAGGAACGACCCAAATAGTAGTCCCAAAAGGGAACTACGAAAGGAAGTCCATTCGAGGAATAATCCTCGAGAACATCCACGAAACACTTGGACACCTAGGATCCAAGAAAACAGTGGAAACCCTCCGTCGACACTTCTGGTGGAAGTCGATGAGGAAGGATACCCACAAGTTCTGTAGGTCTTGCGGAACTTGTCAAATGACAAAGAAAAGCACCAGGAGAAATCCCGGAATGCTTCACCCACTCCCGACCCCAGAGACACCATGGTCGTCAATGGCCATGGACTTCACAGGTCCATTCCCAACAAGCTTGGGATATGATTACCTCTGGGTAATCATTTGTAGGTTGACGTCCAACGTCCACCTAATTCCAATAAAGACAACAACAAATGCACTAGAACTAGCATTCGTATTTCTTCATGAAGTTGTAAGACTCCACGGTTTACCACACTCGATCATATCAGATCAAGACTCAAAATTCATGTCAAAATTTTGGTGCGAATTACACCGAATACTCGGTGTGCAGTTGAAATTCACAACTGCATTCCACCCGCAAGGCGACGGCCAAGTGGAAAGAATGATACAAAAAGTAGCACAAATACTACGTGTGATGGTTAGACCAGACCAACGTGACTGGGCAGCGAAACTGTCGATGGTGGAATTCACGATCAATGCGAGCTCGAACACATCGACAGGATTTGCCCCGTTCGAATTAATCTACGGCCATATGCCAAAGATGTGCCTAACAGCACCACTCTCGGACTACCCGGGAGTAAATGACTTCGCCCAAAAAGCGAAGGAAAACCTCATGGCAGCACATGACACGATAATACACAATCGCGCTGCTCAAACAATCCAGGTGAATAAGAAAAGACGCCCGGACCCGCCTTTGAGAAAAGGCAAGCTTGCATACTTATCCATGGATAAGCTGAACCTACCCAAAGGGAGGGCAGGAAAACTAAAGCCCTTATACATAGGGCCTTACGAAATTCTGGAAACATTTCCAGAGACGTCAAACTATGTCCTCAAGTTGCCACCACAACTTGAACAACACGGAATCCACCCAAGATTCCACGTATCCTGGCTCGTACCTCATGAGCTGAATGACCAGGAAATCTTCCCAAATAGGGAAGTAAACATATTCTACGATTTTGGGGAAGACCCCGATCGCGAAGCAGTAGTTCGCGAAATCCTAAACCACGCGTGGGTTCACAACGAACTTGTCATATCCATCCCCAGCCATCGACTTCCGGTCCCTCCAATCCCTCCGGTCTAACTCCACTCCTCCCTCACTAACCTCGGAGCTCCTGTATTCCGCAATCCTCTCGGTACCCCTCGATGGTCACCACCCCCTCATTTCAATTTATTACCTACGCCTCCCTAAGTACGGAGCCCCGAAGACTTCCGGACAGCTCCGACGTCCGCTAGTGCACTCCTGCCTCCGCTGGGCAATACACTCGCCTGCCCTGCAGAGCCCACCTTCGGGCCTATCCCTCCTTTCCGTTTCTGGGTTATCGCCTGCCTTTCCGCTAACCCCGCGACCCGACTCGTCGGTAATATTCAGTCGGCTAATGTTTAAACCCCGTTAGCTCCACTCCGTTCGGCTCTGCCAATTGCGGACCCGTCTCCGCTGTAACCATATATATATCCCACTTGTACATAGGTTACACCCCAGTAGTAAAATCAACTAGAGTTACCCCCCCTTCGGTTCTGATTGCCAGTCAGTAAGTTAGGGCACGGACGTGTCACTAGGCACAGCGCTCTTGGCAGAAGTTGCTGAGGCCAAAGCCCTCCACTACGGAGACACTCCCTCATCTCGAATCTGGTCTCTGACAGAGTCAATGTTTCCAATGATTCACAGATGTTCTTACAATGAGGATAATAGGAGCCAATGTGTCCAAAACAGGAGAGTATGTGAAGGACACTCTCATTGTTTAAGCATTTGGAGTCAGCTGAGCTGCAAAGACATAAAGCCAGGCAAATCAATTTCCACTGTTGAACCAGACACTGGAGCTTGCTTTGCTCGTTGGACTCTGCACTGTGTCACATGTGGTCAAATTGCAACAATACAGTGGACAAGAAAGGGTACAAGAAAATGAAGGGGCAGAGTCAAGCCCCAGGCAAATGAGAAAGGAGACACAACAAATCGATTTGGCATATGCATTCACAGACTATTGGGCACAAAGACAGATGATCAAGTATTTGTGGGCAGACATTGGCACACCACCTAGGGGAGCATTGACACCATTCAATGCATATGTGACACTATCACATGCAAGAGGGCGAGCAAACATCCACTTGATATGTGACTTCAAAGATTTGTTGTTTACAACGACACCATGCGAAGTGCTAGAGGAGGAAGATAAGCAGTTAGAATGGCTTAACAGGAAAACCAAAGTCGAGTGGGAGCGGAAAAGGAGTGGGGAGTAACAGACAGTGTTGCACAAGACCTAGTCAGACTCGAAGTCATGGGGACCCGGGTCAGACCGGGGTCAGACTGGGGTCTGAGCCAATGGAGTTAAAATGGACTAACGGATTTAACTACATGCATTCTCACCAATACTCCATCCTAGCTCTGTCAATACAGATTGTAGTCTAGCATGAGAACATTTATTTACATTGCATAAGGCTTTGAATATCGGGATTTCCTGTCAAAAAGTCTGACTTGCATGGACTGTGAGAGAGACTTGAGACCATTAAGTCAGACTCACAGACTTCGGTCTTTGGGACCATTTGGGACCAGGTCCGTACAACACTGGTAACAGAAGGGAATTGTTATGTAGTGAAGATCAAAGAAAAAAAAGAGACCATGTGGTAAAGAATGTAAAAGTAAAGCAAGGGGACAAATTCCTGCTACTCTGTAGCGGGTCTTGGAAGCATGGACTGAATGGCTGTGCACAAATATTGGTTATACCCCTTTTTTGCCTCAGCTTGCTGACATACAATTTTAGCTCATCACGCTTACCGACAGCAGCCAGAATGGTGGTAGGCTCATGTAAAAAAGGCTTGTCAATGACACAAAGTGATTACCTGGACTCTAAATTGATTCATAACTCAAGGCGGGTTTGGTAACCTTCGATGTGGATTTGAATCTCCTGTTCATGAGGACTATTTAAATGAGCAAGCCCTGTGTTCGAAGAGCCTCAATCGTGGGGAATGCCTCATCATCATGGTTTATTGGTGAGAATGCACGTGACTTTCACAATCGTTGGTGTCTCTCATCTTCCCACAGCAGCAACTACCGCCCTCCCTGTTTGGGTCCTACACCAATGGGCACAGTACTAGGGTTTGCTTTGGGATTTGGGTAGACAGTCCACCACCGGGGTGAATTTCATCCATGTCCTCCCGCCAGACTGTTGCTGACCTATCCTGGGCTTCAGGTATTGGATCCTTCTCACTTCCATGGACATTCACATCTAAGTGCCATAGTTTTGAAGAACAAGGCCATCATTGTGGTGTACACTGACTTCAATACAATGTCACCAATACAGTGCCCCAAAAAACCGTTGCAATGTTTTGCACTTTTCACTTTATGAGCTTATTGCACCCTGGGAAGGGATCCTAAAATTGCATAAAAATATGAAAATGATGCACTAGTAGCTCATCAATAGCTCCACCAATTTTCTAATAAATGTGTCCATTTTTGGTAAAGTTATTCATTTTACAAAGGACCCATGTCATTGCAATGGTTTTTTGGTGTGCATTTTGGAGAAAGGAAAATCACATTAACTAGTATTTAGTATAGCCACCTTTTGCGCTAAGTAGTGCCTCAATCCTCCTAGGCATACTCTTGATTAAATTCTGGCAGACACTTGGTCCTATCCTCTCCCACTCCTCCTGAAACTGATCCCACAGCTCATGAACACTACTTGGAGGTTCTTCATACTCCCCAAGCATCCTCTTTACATGGTTCCATAATTGTTTGATTGGATTAAGGTCTGGGGACTGGGAGGGCCACTCCATGACCCTGATACCATGGTTATTGAACCAGTTCTGGGCCCTTTTGCTGGTGTGTTTTGGGTCATTGTCCTTCTGGAAGAGGATGTGGGCTGGGTATTTGTCATAATATGAGAGGGTTTGCTGGAAGTCCTCTTCCAGTATTTGGCAGTAGAGCTCTGCATCTATCTTCCCAACAATCTTGCATGCCATTCCAACTCCATCTGATGTCATACATCTCCAAACCATGACAAAACCACCACCAAAATCTTTTTGTTCCTTGCACCAGCCTGTCTGTAAGAGGTTCATCCCCCCATTTCCACACCCATTTCCTCCCATCTGGGCCCAGGTAATTTACCTTAGTCTCACCAGACCAGACCACTCTCTTCCAATCCTCCAGAGTCCACTCTTTGTGGCTGATTGCAAAGTCCATTCTCTCCATTTTATGATGTTTGCTGAGCATGGGCTGCTTGTTCTTCACCACTGCTTTCCAACCAGCCTCCTTTAGTTGCAGACAAACAGCCTCAGTTGAGAGGCTGGTGCTGGTGACTTTTTGAAGAATTTGGGTGACTTGTGCAGCATTGTTGGCTTTACCAGAGTTGATAAGATGTATTGCATGATGGATATTGGTGTCTGAGAGCTTAGATGGGCAACCACCACTGGGCTTAGGAGTGTCGGGATGATGTTTAGACCAAAGATGGGTAACAGTGGAATGGTGGACAGCAGTAATTGATGAGATCTGGTGAGCACTGTGGCCAGAATCAATGAGAGAAAGCACTTGTTCAATTTTCAAAGCAGCCAATTGACACATTTTAGAATTGGGGATTATAGCTTAAAATCCATGTGTATTTATGCTCCAGAAATGTTTATTTGTTTACTAGTGTGTATACCACATGACCTATCAGATGATATTTCCAGTTTTAGTCCATTCTGGCAGCACACCAAAAAACTGTTGCAATGACATGGGTTCCTTGTGAATTGGATAACTTTACCAAAAATGAACATATTGCTTACATAATCGGTAGAGTTATGGACAAGATACTAACACACGTTTCACATATTTATTTAAAAATTTAGAACCCTTTCCCATTGTTTAATAAGCTCTTGAAGTCAAAGGTACAAAACATTGCAATGGTTTTTTGGGGCACTGTAAGAGTAGCGGGTATTGCCGCAGCAGGCAGCATCCATCAGTTATAGACAAATATGTATAGTCGGCCAACACCACAAAGCAGAAAGGAGAAAGAAAGGAAACATGATGTGAGACACAAAAGAGGAAAGTGAATGACGTACAAAGCGTTACACAGAACGACCAAAAAGGAAATAACATCATGTAATTTCAGCGGTTTCAGCATCAGAAATTTACTAATATCGGTATGTCAAGTGACTCTGGTGCAGAGTAATGATGGAGACAAGACCACATTGAATACAGTGCAATAGTACTGATCATAAGAGGGAAATTGGATATGGAGAGTTGTCATATCCTGGAATCCCGACCCCATGCACTCCCACCACACCACACCTTCCTAACAACTTCACCATCCCCTACACCATGCCTCCCCACTCCCCAAGTCACCTCCCTTCCTAACTGTCTCAGCTCCGGCCTGGTTGCGGCACACCAAACCTTGGCCACTCCCATCCCGGAAGCTCGGTCCCAAGTCAGAACATTCGGAGACTCTGGATTGCTCCGATATCCCAACAGACCTCCGACATCCTGTGACACACCCCTAAACCATTTCCCCACCCATTTCATTTATTGAAGTCACCCAACATCCTTTGGATACGTAACTCCACTTCAGAGCTACCCACATCCTTTGGTGACCCCACTCACATCATCATTTATTAGTCACCTTCCATTCATAGCACGACTATCTTCTTCTTACCATTCAGTCGGCTAGCCCCCTCTTACCCATTTCTCGTTCCCATTCATCTTCCAGCCTCTTACTCCACCCCCCCCCTTGACCCAACACCTCAGTTCCCTGTTAAGGATATCGTTCAGGACCTTTCAGTACCTCTCGGTATCATTCGGCACTTTTCGGTGTTCTTCTATTATCATTCAGACTCTGACTAAGTCCTTTCCATTCCCCTTTATAAATACCTGTAGATTAGAACCTGTAGTTTTCCTCAGTTCTAATCTCGACTAAAATGCTACCCCAAGTCCCTCTGTGTCATATCTGTGCATACCCGATCCCGACCCGACTCCCGGACCTCCTTCTTCACCACCCCCGGAGTCCTACCCTACCGCTGTCCGTTCCGATACTCACCTTCGGTCCTGACACCACACCTCCTCTCACCCCCCATGCCACCTCCACTCCTCTGTCCCCCTCCTGTCCTATCTCCGTCCGCTCCGATACTCACCTCGGACTGAACACCACTCCTCTCGCCACCCTCCTCCTACTCCTCCTCCCACTCCTCCGCTCCCTCCTCACAACACCTCCACCCTTCCGTCATCCTCCTACTCTTCTCCTGTCCGCTCTGATACTCACCTTCAGACCTGACAACTCTCCTTTCTGCCACTCCTTCCCTCTTCCCTCTTTCCTCTCTCTTCCCTCTGGTCCTCTTCCACCAACCTCCTGCCAAGTTATGACCTTCCACCGCTGTCCCGTACCTCGTACTTGGACACCGCTCGTACCTTTGCTCCGAGACTCTGTCATAGCTCCTACCTCAGACTTTGACTCCACCTCGGCCTTAGTCCATTGCATTGGTGACCTCATACTACGTAAACACCATTGCCAATATTCCTTGGACTTTCAACCCCACCTCCGTAACCTCTGCAACCTCCGAGCTCCACGGATCATCTTCAGCACTTTTGCTGCTTGTAATGTATCTCTCGCGTTTTCCCCTCATCCCTATTTGGACTGCTGCTTCTTCCCATTCTAGCCAGTTAGTCATCATCCCCACTTCCCCTCATCCTCCTGCCCCTCTGGGCTTCGCCCTCCTTACCTCCTTTCAGATGTACCACCAGTTCAGCCCTATGACCTTTGGTACCGCTCCACTTCTGTCATCCCTTTGTTCCCGTTTGGATGCCTTCGTTCCAATTTGGATCCCCTTTGTTTCCTTGTGCTTTCACCCTCTCCATTATATATATTGGCACTTGTACATACTCATTTTAGTCCTCAGTCTAAAATCGACCTGAAATGCCCCCTAGAGACTTCCTGCTCACCACCTATGAAATTAAGGACCAAATGGACAAACAGCAATGGCACAGCGCTCCGCTTGAGTCGCTGAGGCCAAGGTCCCTCCTTGCTAAGTCTCCGGTTCCCCTCTGGAATTGTCCGCCCTCGCCCAGTTCTAACACTCTGAGTGAATCCCAGTCCTTTTCTACAAGATACCTCAGACATAAGAAATACAAGGACTAACTGAGACGCAACAGAGGCACAGCGCTCCCTCTGAGTCGCTGAGGCCATGTCCTCCTTAGAGCCTCTTGTACCATCCAGCAGAACCAGGCTTCCTGGAGAAGCTTCGGTCCACTACCGGAGCTCTCAGATCCCCTCTAGTTGAGCCCCGCCTGCATTTGGACTCATGCATTTTCCCCTACGATCCAGGTTTTTGACAAGAGTGACACAGGCTGGAAAGCTGGATTGATGACAATCACCCCAAAAGAGGTGACAAAGTAGGTGATCACAAAGACAATTCTCAGTCAAACCGTTCACAGAAAAGCCATGATTTTGGGCATCCACAATTAGTGGATGAGAATACTGTTGGAATTTGTACACATGGTCTTGGGAACTGTAAGGGATGGGTGGTAGAGCAGTGATGCACACTGTATACAATGTAAACAACTGTATTTACATTTGTATGGCTTGGGCTCGGGTAAAGGGTTCTTTACTCTTTACCCTCACCCCTGTCAAATCCAAGCTCGATACAGCCTACGATCTTGACAGCCAGAGGACTGAGGAGTCAGCCAGGTCGGAACCCACACCGACCTTACAGGAACCTTAATATGGACATTCTGGGAGTCGAACCACAGAGCCCTGCATAGGTACTAGAGTGTGTTACCATTACACTAAATGCCCACATTAGGTGGAGGTGGTTTCTAACAAATATGCCAATATGGCAGAAGTTAAAAACGTTTGAGACCAAATCACTGAGGATAAAGTGATAAGAGAAAGTGATGACGGACACCCACCGCATTCATCCACAAAGGAGTCCATAATGGACAAGAGACGTTGGATTGCATGCATACACAGAGAGGATTGAAATAGAATCAAAGCAGAATGGGAGGACCCTAAGAAGCCATTGGCAATAATAGAGGACCCCGATGTATTTTGCATCCACTTCGGCACCGAGAAATTTACAAGACCCCCTACGGGAATTGTGATCAGGTGATGAGTAATGCAAACACGGAAGAATTAAATTGGTCCATGACCAATCCTTCCAACTCTGTTGTGAAGAACCACGACCTTGCGTTAGAATGCATGCCCCAAGAGTTTGAGACTTTTGTCGATCTGGTTCATGATGCGCTCAAGAAGTTTCGACCTCCCAGTAGGTCGATCTTTGAACCCCTTGCACAAAACCTCCAGGGGTTCGATGCCTGGAGGAAGGGCACCAAGTCAGACATTCACCTGTGCCCATCCGCGTCATCCCCAACATTCAAAACAACAGTAGCCAGAGAAATCTTCCCCTTAATTGCGTCCTCTATTCTCATAGTTCGCGCCCATTGGGCGGACCAGCACTCCTCCGGTGCAGCAACTGAGCTCATGGCACTGGATATTCCTCTACCCTATCATGGGGGCAGGGGGACTGTCCAGTACTGGCTGAGCAATATACCAGAACGCCTCGTTGCATTACGTGAGCGGTTCCCTCGTTGTCTGGAAATCACTTCCCAGCTCTTCCCCCCTGGTAACAAGGTTCCCACCGCACGGGAGCTAATCGACTACGCATCACGGTTAGAAACCACGTCTCAGCAGCTCCGTATGATAACTCACATCTACTATTGTGCCGCCGCTCTGAGAGAGATGAGGGAGTTAGGACCGGAGAAGTTTTTTGTGAGTGTCGTCGAAGTCGTCCCCCTTCTTATCTTTACCTAACGATAGGGTTCACATCATAGGAAGGGTGTCTCCACACTTCCAGTGAACGGTAAGCCGTTTGGTCTTACGTAGACCACACTGACGACTTGGCAGTCACTCCTACGCCAGCCCCCTCATCATGACTATATTGATATCGCCACTTGTCCTGCTCTTCGATGCCACTCTCACTAACCCATCGGCTATTCCCTCCATCACCGCCATGTTGTCGTATGCCGTCTTGCGCGGGGGGCTCAGGGAATCGAACGGCCCTCGGAAGGTGCTCGAGAATGCCCTGCTTAATCTCATATTTTCTGTTTCACAGACAGGACAGATTTCGCAACACGACCTTGAGAGATTCCACGCCGCATGGACAAAGATTTTGCCCTGTATACCCGAAACCATCATTAGCCCTCCCGACATGGACCCCAGGGAAATCGGGAATGAAAACACCCCTCTGCATTCCACGGGGCAAGCCTCGGACATGCATCCCTCCATGCCTCAATCCTTTGCAGCTGCCGAAATCTCATTCATTGCCCAAACCCCGACACCCCACTCGACCATCGCTAAACCATCGACCATTCCTTCCGTTCACCCTCAGTTGGCACCCGACGCTCCGGATGACTGGGATGAAACGTTCACTCCCGGTCAAAAGGAGTCTCGACAGAACCCGCCCTTCACCTGGCTGTCTTCATCCGCAAGTCAAAAACGCCGCCGATATGACCGTCAACCAGGGGACAGGGAACGTGCGCGGAAACCAGTCAACTTGGGAACTGGGCACATTCAAGAAGTTTCCGTGACCGAGGAGACGATAACCTCTATATCTTCTCTAGACAAATGTAAGATGTGGCCCCACGTCACTACTATAGACAAAACGCTGGACGTCCCTGAGCTCAATCCAGATACGTGGTCAAAGGTAGGTTCAGTATCCGGTCGAAGCCAAACGAAGCCAACAGCCCCTCCACAGCTCCTCCATCCCGTAGACTTGCATGTCATCTCTCTTGTCAATGAAGGGCGATCTTCCCAGAGGGAGACCTTCTTCTTTCCGTACTGCAGATGTTCTGTGGGTCGTTTCTCATTCCTTGCAACATTAACAACTAACCGCATTGCAGCCCTCCCTACAGAAGTTGAAGCACTACTTGGAATCGCCCCAGCATGATTCCAAGGATTGGAAGCCCGTTTTGATGACAATACAGGGAGCGTTAGCGATGGATGCACGGGAGTTTCAGCGTAAGGTTAACGACGGCACCCCGATCGTCTTGGTGGACCACCCAATGCAGATTCCGTTTCGCGCACTTGGTTTCGATGAACTTCAGCAGTCCGAGGTTCAGTGTATCGGCAAGTTTTTTTTCCATTCTTGTATCCCGTTCACCGACCTACTTTTAGATTCTGACCATTTTCTATCGACCCGTCACCCCCAGATCCTAGAGATGGCCACGAGTAATGCTTTGCACGAGATATGTGACTGGCGGAGATCTAGACCATTGATATTGTCACAGACCTCCACTGGTCACCATCAATCGATAGAGAGGTGTGTTTATTCATCTCCTCAACGACGTGGCTCACATTATTCCAGCCTCCTTAATACTCATGAGGTGGCACTGGCGGATTTTCCTCTGCGTGGCCGAAACTGGCGACATCCGATTGTCGCGGCCGCTGGCTCTATACACCCCCCACACCACGCTCCAAACGGCATGGGCACTAGCCTTTGCTGTGCTAGTGGTTATGCCATATTCTTCATTCCTATCCTAAAAGGAGACCAGTTTATGATGAGCTGTTTCAACGGCACGGACGCGCCCCCCAACCCAAATTTTTCATACCTCTACGAAGCACCGTATCGTTTTACCTCCTTTGTTCTCTCACCTGGCCAAACGGTGTAAGTAATCTCATTGTCAGCTGAGTCCCACTTAATGCCTCTATCCACAGTATCTTTCCCCCTGGCCAAGTCTATGCCTACGCATCGCTTTCTCGGAAAGTAAACAATAAACTTATCCCCGGATGCATCATGCGAAGTTCGAATTTTCTGGCTGCTGGATGCATGAAGCGGTCGTTCTTGATGAGCCGGTTGCGTCGCAACTGTGCCAACCAATCCAAGAGCGAAGAAACTTGGAATTCTGGTGTCACAGTGTCCTTGATGGCCATGGTGTGGAATGCGGTGTGTGCCGTGTCGACTGGGCAGGAACAGCCCATCCACTCCCCGGACCTTGTCAACCTCGCCTCATTGGCAGCTATGGCCACGGAGTTCATTGGGGATCGTGAGCCGCGCTTTTCCGGGGTGGTCAGATCATTGGTGCATTATTGTGCAGACCAAGAACCGGACTCTGTTCCCAATTCTCATGTCAACAACTACCAATTATGTGTATAAATATAAATTGGATCAATGTGACCCTCAAGAACGCTGAGGGGTGACAGGCTAGCCAACAGTGCTACTCCTTTATAGAAATGGGATTCTTCCCATTTAGATTCTTATGGGCCCTGCACAACACCCATTTCATGTAGTATGTTACCTTGCTTGCAAGGTCTCTTGCATGTCCACAATTCGTGGGAATTCTGCAAATATATTGGTGGGAATTCTGCAAATATATTGACCTGTTCTTCGTCATCACATGTTCATGTATCCACGTGTCCTTCCTTACTATAATATTAATATTATTTAGAGCGGAGGTGTCCATCATAAAGTAGTACTAGTGTAACGTGCACACAACCAACGTGACTTCATTTCCATCATCGATCGTTCCATCATCCACATCCGTTCAAGCGCTCTGCAACTGGAACCTCTCCCACCTGATTCTCGTTGCCTCATTCTCCTTCTCTAATCTTTTATCTTCCGCCTCTAGAATTCCGCATGGTGTTTGTCTCAGTAACTTCTCGTCAAACTCTCGCAGAAGCCGTATTGTATCACGCCCTGAGCTCCGCGATAATGCAACATAGGCGTTGAAAGGTGTTAGCCCGCCTGTTGGTGGGGGTGCAAGATCAATCACCACATATCGGATCGTCTGGCCTTGTGCTCGATAGTCTGTGAAGCCATATGCCCCTGTCATAGGTAGCTGCCGTCGCTTCACTGACTTTGTTTTTCCATCCCCCATAGTGATCCGGTAATTCCGCTCCTCTGGAAAAATTGGAACAACACCATTGTCTAAATCCCCTACCCGCTGTTCGCTTGCATGGTCTAGCTTAACCAGCACGCAAACGGGGAGATGGCATAGCTTGATCCTTTCTACGTTGTCCGGTAGCGTTGGCTCGTTCTCGTTCATCATAATCTCGATGATTTCTCCCCTTGAGCCATTTGCGATGTTCTTGTCCGTGTCAACATTTGTAGTGACCATCACTTTGGCTCCCAGTGCAATTTCAACAACGTCCGAAAGCTTTGTCCCATCATTCTTCTTCTCCCGATTCTTGCTGGCTTGAGTTGCATATGCCCACTTCTCTGCAAGTCGTAGTGGCCTTCCTTTAATGGTGTCCTCTGCCATACATGCGAAAAGGGGTATTTTCCCCTGTCGACAGTGCTCCTCGAGTGCTGCCTTATTCCATTCCAGACGTACACCATGGCGTGGTGTGACAAGGCTCGCACGACTCCATGGCGCATTCCTGAAATCGGTAGATGGACATTCCTTTGATGAAAGCACTAACCCCTTTAACAGGTCGACGTGCTGTTGAGTACACATTCCATGACGTGCGTGGCGCAGTAAGTCGATCCATTTTTCATCTGTAACTCGCATCTGCTCTTTAAGGATGACGACCACATCGAATTTTTCATATAGGGCTGATCCCAAAGCTTCTTCGCCACTGTCCCCAGCAACTGAGGGCCAATAGAGCGTCGCGCGTGGGCCGCCCACGACAGGGGGAAACTGATGGAAGTCTCCACACATAATCACATTCAAGCCACCAAATGGCGCATCCTGCCGCTCCCCTTTCACTTCCGACATAATGAGACCAAGAATGGTGGATAGTTTTCCAAGGAGACGCCGTGAAATCATTGAGCATTCGTCAATGATGACATATCGTCGAGTTGACCACCACTTCGATTGCTTCCGAATTTGTTCCATGGTTGGCATTTGTTGGTCACTTCGAGGCAGGTTGACCAAGGTGTGTAGTGTCCGACCTCCGATATGACATGCAGCGATGCCGGTATATGCGCCCTTCGCTAGCATATTCGCTTTTCCATGTGAGTTGAAGAAGGAAGTGAGGGTGCTGATCACAACTGATTTTCCTGTGCCACCTTCACCCAGTAACAACATCAATAACTGTTGGCCTCCCCCTCCTTGCATTGTGTTCAGTGTGTGAGTTGATATGATGTCAAATGCACGCTTCTGATCTGTGCGAAGATGTGATATGTCCAGAACGATAGATGGCCGAAATGGATCCAATGTACTCATGGCTACAACTCCGCTGCTGGTGTTGGCCATTTGACTGAGTGTGAGTGGGTTGACTCCGCTGCAGTCTCCTCCAACATTTGGACTGATGTTCTCAGATATCTCAGTATCTGCCCGTTTCATCGCATCCTTCCACTTCGCGAGTTTCTGAAGGTCGCAACCAGTAATCGATGATGAAACTGTGTCTGCTTGCCATGTACCCATCCCACTGAAAATCTGTGCCAATCTCGCACATTCAACGGCGTGTTCACCATGAAGAACTTCCCGTGTCTTGTTCCTATCTTTCAAGAACCTCTCCAAGCTAGCTTCGGACCAATCTACGTTGTCATCATCCAAGCCTCCATCCTCCATGTCCTCCATCTCATCATCAGTACCCTCCGTATGTGCTCGGCCCCTGGGAACGGTACTATCTGAGCTTTGGCGTGTTGCAGCGTCCTTGCAGTCATAATAAAATTGTGCATTCCCAACTATAGCTGCGGTGCGATCGTCCATTCTTTCTGAATTCAGAAAGTTTTCGTATGCTGATGTCCACGTCTCGCCTTCTCCTTTCAGTGTAGATAAATTCCTCCAAGGCTTGAGCAGACATAGCATTGAGGCATGGTGACTGTCGACGAAATCTGAGTCGTCACCACGAGGGAACCATTTCCCGATGATGTTCGCAATGGTTCGGTGACCAGAAGAACGCACAACTCTGAGTTTTGTTTTGTGGCTTTGATGCGATACTAAGTACTGACTCCTGGAGTTTGCTGGACGACCACGCCTTGTCGTGGTTGTGGAGGTATTGTCTGTAGGTCGATTCACCACTTTATCTTGACAGGTATTGCGCTCGTAGCTGTCCGTGGTGAACTCCAATAGTGACATATCTTCTAGTTCATATCCTCGGTGGGAATAATCCTCAAATTGCGACCTCGCGACCAAACTCCCGTTTGGGCTGACATCGATATTCAGAAGCTCGATGCCTGTCTCATCATCCTTGAATTCCAAACAGTCACCTCATGTTGAACTTCACTGAACACGCTAATTACCTCAATTCCCCTCCCCGGAGGTTCAGCCCTTCTAACATGGGCTTCCATCCCGTCGGTGGTGGACCCATCCACTGATGGGCTACCACCATCATTAGCCCTCGACCTTGCAGCTCTGATGGTGTGTATGTGAGATCATATATCCCCAAAAACTTCGGCAACTCATACCTAGATGCTTTTTTTAGTTCTGGGAATTCCCGTTCAAGATGATGAGAAAATGTTGTCCAGTAAAGCGGCACGTAATGATGGGATTTGAATGAGTCACCCCATCCCATCAAATAGCTGATAACTTGAGGAGCAGACTGTTCAGTGTTGCGGTTGAGCGTCATGAAACAACGGAAAACCAGGAGTCGGTTCCTTTCCCGAATATTATCGATATACTTGTTGTCATCAAGATGATATTGGAGTTTCTGAGCCAACAATGCCGACAGATTTGACATTTTTGATTGTGCCTTCGTCGCATATTTGGTAATGTACCAACAGACATTCTTTGTGTCCTCACCGTTTGTCAGCAACTTGATGTCGTGATTACAACGGAGGTACACGAGAAGATTTGGATTGTAGTTGTTGACAAATCCGTATGACCGCTGAGGGTACCATTCACCGTTAGCTTCTACCTTATCGGTATCGCATAGTTCAAAAGGTGCGCGTCGCTTGCATGTCCACTTCCCCGTTGTCCAATCCTGACGAAGACACTGATACTTTTTGCACGAGTGTATTTGATTGGACCTCATTAGACGTCGTTCAAGGGATTCGAATTTCGCATTGAAGTTGGGTTCATCAGGATGTGGTGGCCGACAGAACGCTGCATCTTTTTCTCGCTCCATCGCTTTGATTGCTTGCTCGTCCATGCCAGGTAAGTGAGCGCGTATATTAGCTTCGATGTATTGTCTCACTGTTTCACGGAATTCGGGTGAGAGGAATTTGGATCGCAGTTCACCAGCGCTTGGTGCATCCTCCAGCCACAAGATCATGTGCAGGTGAAGGGTTCCTCGGTTTTGTGCCTCCACCATCCCGATATACGCCTCGATCCAACCCAAAATACCGCAAGTTCTACGGATACTGTTTGCTTTCACATCAATGCCCAACAATGTTTTGAGCATGGTCTCGATCAAGAAGTGAAAGAATTTAGCAGCAGCAAATGGATCTTTCGCTATTGCACGTTCCCGCTCGATTGAGTTGCTAATCGCTGCATCAAGGGCCTGCATATCGATCTCCTCCCCAACGAACAATTGCGCGAGGGGGTCATGGATGTCGCTTGGGTTGATTGTAAGCCAAATACTTGGTGGGCCTTTGGTAAGTGTTGTACTCCATATCTGACTTCGAATTGCAGCCCGCGATGAGTCAGTCCCCATGATTCGACTAGATGTGGCTCGGATGTGTTTCATCAATTGGGAAACTCGTCTGTTTGATATCCGTTCTCCTCGAGCTTCCTCCTGGCTTGCTTCTTGTAAGTCTGTGACCGTGAGTTGGGAAAGCAAGTTGCCATCTGCTCTGAAATCCCTCCGGCCCATTTGTATGCGTGCTGACGACAGGGCTTGCCTACGCTGCTCGATACCAAATGCGAGGAAGGGGAAAGAATGGTGTGTGCGGAATCGCCGCGAATGGTGGGAAAGGCAATATCGTACGTGCTCATTAAATCTCACATAGACTTGCCGTGCTTCTTCAATTCCACCCTCACCATATGGGAATAATGTAGGAAATGCCAGCGCCCAAAAGTTGTGCATAGGCTGTGATGCAACACTATTGCCTTCGGTGCGCTCTTTTCCTGGTCTGTATCCAAAGTCACTAACAGGACGCCAACCATGTCGAACTGCATATCCTGGCTCTTGCCCTAGATTCAAAAGCCCATACATGAGCAGTTCGGAGGCTGAAGTGGTGGAGATGTCGGTTTCCATACTTCCTAGTTGCTGGATTGAGACCACGTCACCATTATCTTCATTCCTTATGAGACATCGGCAAAATTCAAGGTATGTCAATCTAATCTTACCATGTTGAGTCTCATTCACACCCTCGTCCATATCATTCTCATCATCACTGGTATCTACACCGAAATCAGATTGAAAATTTCGCTTTGCTCACCAAGAAACAACTTACATGGACCAGGAACATATGAATCATGCTCCCTGCCGAGAATATCTGCTGCGGTTTCTTGACGGATGGATGCAATGATCTCCACTGGTACATCATCCTCGGGTAAGCTCCCAAGGATCTGTTCGTCGATAACATAGTCTGAAAACAACTTGTTGTTTTGAACCAACCATGTGAGTGCCTCCAGAACCACTCGACGTCGAACTCGGAATGTCGACTTGAGCCAATTTGCAGGAAGTTGTCCAACCCCGACATAGGTTATGGCGAGAACCGACGCGAGAATTGATGCTGGCCGTGGCATTTTTGCCCCTTTCAGCATCTCAATGACATCGTCGGTGTTCATCGGGAAGCTGGTAACGTTCCCTCGTAAACCAGACTGCTCACGCGTTGGATCCCCAGTAGAACCAGCCTTAGGATGGAGCTTATAAATGAAGCATCGTGGGTAAACCGGTGCGATCAGGAGTTGTTCTGGCACCGTAAGTCTACTCAAGACTTCAGGAACTGGTCCAATCCACATTTTGTTCGACAGCGTGAAGGGGGGAAGTTTGTTTGACGACAAATGCTGAAGGCACTCGCTGCAGAGGTATGCATGTGTTCCTTCGCTACCAGTATCATCCAAAATTCCTTCGGGGTCCAGTAGCATCCCATCGATAAGTACATGTGCAGGGTGAGGATTCTGTATGGGACGTAGGTGATGCGAATGAGGAATATCGGCTATGCTGATGGTCTTCGATTCTGCTAGCCAATGAAGTCGCGCGCATGATGCACACACAACTTCAGCGACAGCATCAGATGAAAGTGCATCCAGGAACTCGATGCGACGGTCACGAATCTCCTTTGCACTAGGAAGTTGCATGAACAAGGGCACTGACACTACTTCGGCTGTGTTGGGAGTCGCGCTGGGTGTCGGATATCGTTCATCACCTAATTTTGTCTTCTTTGTACCACTTCCTCCAACAGATGACTCGGTTCGTTTTCGCTTATTCATGGGTGTCAACATCATGTTGGCTGTATTGTGAGTTGCACTGGGTGTCGGGTATCGTTCGTTGCCTAATTTCGCCTCTGTGCTGCCCCCTCCAACAGCCGTCTCTGTCCGTTTTCGCTTATCCATGTCGTTTCTAGAGAGTTTCCTCTCTCTCAGTAACTCAAGCTCCGTCTTTTTGTCAACTTCGAGGCATCGCAAATAGTCCACTAACTTCAAACGATTCCTGCATGCCGCACTGCTAAGTGTTATGTTCAGCTCACGGCACTTAGTCCTGATCTCTTCCATGTTCAGAGGAGAGAGCCAATCCTTCATGACGAGAAGCTGTTAAGGTGGTGTGGGGATATGTTTTGCTAACGTGTATGTTTTAACGCGCGCAGCCCCAAACAGGTATTCTAGTACCAAATAAGTGTGCTCATGGATAATCTCATAATGTCAAGCGAAACAGGCACAACCAAAGAATTCTCTGTCGAAATGTAAGTTCTTTCCATCAGAACATTGGTTCATTTTTCACACCTATCAAATAAGATCTCGACACTCCGCCCATTGTACACCCACACGGGCCCGACTGACCGACCTGAAAGCTGAAAGTAAGTTTCATTTATTCAAACTCCACTGTGTATTCTTTGATAATCAGTGAAGGTGCACTGAGTAGTGCTTAGAGACCGTCACGTCGCACATCTACGGTGAAATGTAACAGGTCGGATTTGTCTCGAGTTGAAGATAAGTATTTTCCATCAAAACCTCGCACTCCATTCTTCGCTAACAATTGTACAAGATCCCAGGTCACTTTGACCAGTGCCTGGACACTATCGCATTTCACCTTGACAGGGATGTGCTCAAGCCCATTTCCGATAACCCACAAAGTGAGATTAATGCATCGAGTTTGCAATCTAATAAACTAATATTTGTCACCCATGTCAGAATGACGAGATCTTGAACATGGCTATGTCTACTACGAGGACTAGAGCACGTAAAATGCAGACATTTAATGGACTGAGTTCAGTATTGCCAACATAAGTGCACTACTTCGACATGGTGAAGCGGTGCCGAATTGTGCCCATATTCAAATGCTCTAGGTCCCCGGTCTTGGCCCTGACATAAATATGTTTGGCATCGGATTGGTCTTGAGAGGCTAGGCTGACAGGAGGTGATTACCTGCTTGACCGAGGTGTGCCCGGACATTGCTAATCAGGTTTGAAAAAAAACCACTTTGTCAGGGAAGACTCATGAATTACACCAGTTTTTAAATGACACAACAGCCGCTAGGGACTGTGCCGGCCGTTTTATTTCACTGATGGCGCTTACATGCGGTGGTCGATGTGAAACTGTACGATGCCGACTTAGTGAGTGGTTTTCTCTGTCATACACACCATATGTGAGTTGTGATGAAAATGTGTCCAAATTCATAGATTTAAAAGTAGGCAGCATCTCCCCACCGACTTTCCTCCCCACAACACCCTTCCGTGCACTCACACAACCCATGCCCACTCTACCATCCAATGACGAGCTCCGCAGTCGTATCGATGGCATCTACTTGGGCGACCCAGATGTGATTTCTCAGCTCAAATGGTCATATTCCAAAGGTGGCCGATGCCATGTGCTCACTCACAAATCGACGCCAGCTGCACACAACCCTCCCCCCGCTTTGTTGCACGGTTGTTTCAAAGTTGTCCGAAGCCCTTTTTACTTCTCTCCTGATGGTGGATTCAAAGCTAAAGCTGCGAGTGTGAACTTTGGCGGAAGAACTACAGAGGAAGAAGCCATGGGCAAGGCCAATTCCTGGGCTCGACTGGAACGTGTTGGAGATGAAGATATCCTTGGATATGAAGATTTCCCAGTGTACGTTAAGAATCTGAAGGCACTGGAAGGGCAGGTACGCGAAGGACAAACTTCGGTTTACTCCATTGTCACGGACGAGGGTACCCTTGGCACTGAAATAAAAATCATCCACCGGATGTTTGAGGTAATGTCATTTTCTTATATTTCTGCGGTCTTCAACTTGTTCACTTGAGCATCATAGTCGGCTTTGGCCAGTAAGTAGTCTGAAGTTTCGCTCCTCTGTATTCTTCCATATTTATGACACTAGGCACTTCGCATACGCCAACACCCTCCACTCTCGATGGGGGAAAGGGTATGAACTTTGCAATCCTGGCACATAATGTTTTCATATCCGGATATCTGGTTTATTTGTTACATAGGCAGCGCGTCGACTCCTGGTTCCGAACCATCAGGGAGTAAGCAACCAGTTGTGGCTGAAGATAGTGCCGACATAGTGAAGTCCGGTGCTCCACAACTGGGCCAGAAAAGTATGTACACGAATTGAAAGACTTGATATAATCTGATAAACATTCACAATATTAGGAAAAAGAGCGTGTACACCCCCGGCTCAGACAATTGGATCTACGACAGCTGGGCCATGCATTCTTGTTCCTCGCACTCCCGAGCCAACAGTGAAAAGTAAGTTTACAGTGAAACTATCTAATTCACTTTATATTAACAAAACCCTCCAGCTACCGGTGGGGTTGATCAGGAGAGTGACGACGTTGATGTCGGCAAGGATGACCCTGGTGTGTTCCTACAGTTAAGATATAAGTATCAATGGACTGACTAGCTTTCTGTATAGACGATGCATTCCTCGGGGATGAATTTGGCCTGCAACACTGGCCAGTGTCCAAGTCGAATATAGGCATTCGTGATCGCATGGTAGCAAGTGGACACTGGTATACGAATCCCCTCAAGGCCTATCGTGAGGGTATTGAGGGTGTGATCCCCCCTCTGAATACGAGTCTGTGCTACGGGGGGCAACTGTGCAACTCTCCTTCACTCTAACATGCCACCTGATTGGAGGACGTGCCACATTTTCGGCGCAAGTTGGTGAAATTATTGTATTGAAGGAAGCTGAGATCATCACTGCTGGCCGTGCAGAGAACGGGTCACCTTCAAAGCGTGCATTCTCAGGACCATCATTCTCCCCGGCAAAGCGCCAGCGCCGCCACTAGAAAAGAACGTCAACTCTCACCATGCTTTTGACTCTGCGCTACACACTCTTTCTGCTAAATGCGCACCATTTGATATTTATTGCTCCACACACAAAACATAACTCTCATTCTTAAACGTTTATTAGAAAAAATTTATCTCAATCCTCATTTTACTCAGTATCGATAGTGTCAATCAAAATAACTTATGTTGTGGAGGCAGTTTACGTTGTCAGGAAGCGGATGCAAAAAAGTCGGGTCTCAAGCAAGGTCAGGGCTGCGTAGCAGGCATTTCTAGTCCACAATTCGTGGGAATTCTGCAAATATATTGGTGGGAATTCTGCAAATGTATTGACCTCTTCTCTGCATGTGTCCTTTCTTACAACTCTCGCGATAAGATCTTTCTGGCTCATTTTTCCCACTACTTCGTAGCGGGTTCTGCACATTTAGGCCCCACAAGTGCTGTTTACAGGATCCTTTGTAACCTAGGGTCCTCTTTTCCCAATATGACAATCACTTCCGCTGTAGTACCACTGCGATAAGACAAATCACTTGACCCCTCGTATAACTATGTTAGCTCAGACTTCAGACACCCAGTCGGCTCTCTGTGAGTACGAGTTTGACTAACACTACACATTCCTCATTATTCCAATCTCAGTTTGAAATGCGACTCTTCCTGCACACTGTGGCTTCAACTAACTCCATTTGCATCGCTTCCGATTCAACCTCTAAACCGTGGTCATACTCATTGTTGAGTGTGCCTTGGACCTCGATCGATCCACCATCACTAATTACACATACCTCCGTGATTCATATCAACAGCGCAATGCCCTGCATTCTTATAAAGCTAGTGGAATAGAGAGCGTTGGGAAAGCTAACTGGTGTTGGGTAATAACTAATGTAGTGTGCTCATCACTGAGAGAAAAAATTCCATGAGAAAATCCTCCGTGAAGTAGGATTAAAGTCCCACTGAGAAGCAGGATTTTGTCTAAATTTTCTATGTTAGAACAATCCTGCTGCCATACATGATTGTGACCAGAATCATGTCAAAAAGTCCTGCTAAATAACAGGGAATAATCCATTTATCATGTAATTATCCATGATGATATCATAGGGAATCATGCTCTAGTGCAGGTCAAATCTTGTCTAATGATGGCTTATGTCTGACTGGAGGCAGGATTATATATTGACTAGTCGACACGATGGTATGGGACAATATGACTGGAAAAACATAATGAAACGACAATCGAAAGTGAGGGGTCATAAAGTTGTCACAGTGTCAAGGACTTGAACAGCGAAAAAGGTTTGAAGCGAACAACAGGGGTCGAGAGTGCCGTGAGTGTTGTTGGAGAAAAGCATAGAGGCAGGGGTTTGGTGTGACATATTATACTGTGGTTGAGTTAAATTTAGTGCCTAGCACCGTTACTACAGTGTAGGCCGGTTATTTGCAGCACCTCAGTAGCAAAAAATCCTACTGGTCAACTTGGCCTCAGGTTTAAATCCTACTATAAAAACAGCATATGAAGCATTATTTTACAAGTTTTCGAAATTTTGACAAGGCAGACAAATTTTTGGGAGGAGAAATTTCCTTATTTGGAAGGTGGAGGTAATGAGAAAATGTATTTTTTAATCAGTGCACGGTTTCTAGAAATATGAACCATGCATGAGAAAAATGTGGGGGAATGGGAGAGGCTTGCACCGACGAAAACTGTTGATCAAACATCAATTTCTGAAAAGAGCCATTTTGATTCGTCTGTGAGACTTATACTTCTGAACAGCATACTCAGCCTGTACACCAGTGAGACCTTTTCTATGTAGCAAGCAGCATTGAGTATTGCATCAATGAGCAGTTGGAATTCACAAGATCTTACTCATAAGCATCCATATAACGCCAAGTCTTTCGGAAAAAACGACGGATTGTCACAAGATCACAGGAATCCAAGCACTGTGGAACAAGAGCCTTTGCAGTTTTGAATGTTCCATCCGTAGCAGCTCTATAGCCTGATACAGTGTTAATGTTAGAAATGCAATAAAGAAGAACTGGTTCAACTCACGATACTTTGTGTATCCCCAATACATTTCTATCAGGTTGAGCTCACAATGGAACTTTGGCAAGAATAAACAAACATGGCCCTGTTCTTCCACACAAATCTGGAGAAGCGGCTTCTCGCTCTTGAAGTCAGATTGCAGAGAAAGGACCCGTGTCATACAACACCAATCTGAAGCTGGGATTGGTTCTTCCAACGCATCCGGAAGGATATCATCCACCTCTCCACCCAAAGCTTCTGCTGTGGCAAGGCGTGCCTCTGCATCTCTGGCAGCTTGGGACTTTCGACACTGATCACACGTCCCAACTGGCTTGCCATTCCGAGATTCGGCAACAAGTTTCTTCCATACACTACTGCGCTCCTGCAACACCGCACGCATCCCTTTCGGTTTTCCCTGGAGTTCAGCAGGAATGGAGGGGTCATTCTCTGGATAAACCATGAGCTGGACTTGACCACGAGTATCTGCTTCATTTGGTAATGGGGGAGGATTATCAAGCGGGATGATGGTTGGATGCATTTTTCTCTGTTTTCCACCAGGATTCACATTCATGCCATTCACATTCAGCACATCCGGCGCAAATGCTTCATGACTTGAAGAGCAGTCAAACATCCATACACCAACACAGTCTGGATATTTAAACTCAAATATATCAATTGCATCCTTCAACTGCACGTAAAATATTAATTTTGCACTTATGGTGATATTTTGTTACATACCTGATTGACAAGTTGCTGCCCATCCCACCATGCATCATGACCTTTGCCTGGATATACAATGACCCTTGCATCGGACTTAACCTGGGTAGCAGCTGGACGTGCTCTATTCTGCATCTCTTCCTCTTCCGTTAGGACCAATCGGCCCTGTTCAGTAATAAAATCTGAAACATGTATAGCGCGGCCATTCCCTTTCTTTTTGAGTGGTTGCTGCCCATCCTTCACCCAAACGTGACGATGATATTCATTAGTGTGGAAAATGCTCTCATCCTGGAACACGGGTATATGCTCCTTATCGGAAAAGACAGCTGGCAACGGCTCCATTTCATCTCCATCATACTCACGAAAAAATCTGACATGATCAGTATGCACTCTCCGGATATATATGTATGCACAAACGTACCTTCCCAACCCATTTTCTGCTGACATACATTCGATATACCTCTTCCGTGATGCCAGAACATCAGGTTGCTCATGACCATCCATGTATGTCCCCTTCTTTGACTCTACACTTCGGTACCCCAACTTCCACAGCCACTGTCGGGCAGTCCGCTCACTGATTGACTTGTAAGCGCCACTGGGGAATAGCGAGGGCAGCAGCGCATCATTGACATGCTGCATCAAATGTTGAGTGGTTATCTGATTGAATATCTGGGGTGAGCGTCGCAAACACTCATGCCAATCTCTCATACCTTGCCCAACTTCTGCTCAGCCAAATGCTGCCGAACCCCCATTATTACGGCTTCATTATGAAGAAGACTTTTTGCACCTCCTTTCTTTGTTCGGTGACTCTCAGGAAGCCTTCGGAACTGAGTGATGTAGTGAATGGTTTCTCGGATCTTGCGTGCAAATGCTGGACCTTTACCCATGCAATGTGCAACAGCAAGACTTGCCGCTTGTGTGGGTTTCTTATGTCTCCATCCTGAGGCTGATTCTCTCTTTCGGTGCAATTCCACATATCCAGCTACTGCAGTAAGGATCATGATCTCTTTTAGCGTTGCTGGTGAAGATATGCGTGACGCTTGTTTCAGCAGTCTGCGGACTGTGATTAAAATGTCTTCTTCAGGCTCCTCCTCAGTCAGGAAACCCTCAATAGACTCGCAAATACTTTTCGATTGATGTCGGATGGACGGAGCTGACGGAGTGTCCAGTGTGCCGGAGTCAGCAGTCTCATCAGGTCTGTCTCCCTCACTCATGTCTTCCACCTGCGAATGTGATATGCCACCTCAGGTCATATCCAATAACATATATACACTGCCAGTTACACACCACCTCAGTCCCACATTCACCCCCCAAACCCATAGCCGCTATGCTGCATATCAACTGGTTCAGTTTATCCTCAAACTCAGCTACAGCACTCTCTCGGGTTCGATGAGCTCCATTATCCATGCTCTTTGTGGGGATCTTAGCCACTGTATGCAAGCGGAACTGATGTAAAACCTACTGGCTGTGTCAGGAAATTTGTGAGGACATCAGCGTTGCAAGTGGTGGCCGCTGTTGCCAATTCCCTCTGTTATGGAAATGGGATTTTCCCATTTTTAGCCTCTTATGGGCTCTACGCAGTACAATATCACGTGACATGTAAATAATAACAACCTAACCAACTATTATCACCCAAAACACCCGATGTCCATGTTATTGTAAACACCACTGTTACAACATCTGTTACATTAATTGTAACATCTTCTCAATGTCACGGCCCCCTCCTGCACCCAAACGCTATAGAAATGGGCCAATTAGGCCCCATTTTTATAACACCCTCTGCTTTGCTCTTAATCGATGTTGATTCCGATGTGAATCCCCTGTGTATGGCTTTCGGAGCTTTGTCTGGAAAAAATGGGCATTTATTGGTGATGGAATTGACGGCCTCGACTGACAGAAATACTTGCTGCTTGAATTCTCTTCTCAATGTTGCCTCGACAATTTGGCTTTGGCTTATTAAAAATGCTGTAAATTTTCTCCAGGCTTTCTATATGGTCTCTTCCTTCACCCTCTTCAAATTCCTCAGCAGAACCAGATGCTTCGGACCAGATCTCAGTTGAGGTGCTGTTGGAAGTTTCGGAGCTGGAAGTGGGGATGTCACTGAATTCAGATGCAGAGTCGGCCTCAGAAACTGAGCATTTTACACGCTTGCCAAATCGCCTGGAGCCCTTTGACCATTGTTCTTGTGCTTGGCACTTGCAGGCATTTAAGGCAGGCATTTTGAGTTTGCGTTGCGATGCTCGGGAGCACGTGATTTTCACCCAAGAATCGCACAAGCTTGCTAAATTGCCGTTAGATTGCATGTAATCTTCACGAAAGATGCTATAATAATATACTCTACAATCTCCTTGTGTTCCTTCACCACTTGGATGCCATTTAAGCGCACTTTCCTAATTAGGAAGTGTAGGCGGACATTTGTTTTCTCGGAAATTTTTTATTACACCAAATCAGATAAAAACAGTCTGATACGTTGATAGAGAGATCAAAAATGATGCTTTCCTGCTAACTTTCATGCAGTCTAGGCCAGAGTTGCGAGCTGTGAAAGGAAAGTTCTTCGGAAGCAAAGTGAGACGTCAAAAATAACCGGCCTACACTGTAGTGAGAGAGAAGCACATGGTGAGATGTTAAGCATGCACATGTTGGATTACGAGTCATGTTACCATTCTGGCAACATGTCCCATGCACAGCGCTAGCATGCAACATCCCACACATGCATCACCACTTTCCCAATTGGTGAGTGTGCCAATCATGGCCTTGCTGTATTATAAAAGATGCCATAGTTGAACGTAATAATAATCAGCCTTAGTACTTACCTGTCATATCCATACAATCCCAACCTCTGCTCCGGGCTCCCGGAACTCCGAACTCCGACTTCCGGAGCCCTACTTCCCTTCCGTCACCTTCTCCTTGCCGACTCCCAAGAGGTTATCCCACCTCCGGCTCCATCACCACCTTCGGTCCGACTCCGGAACATTCCGGGTCCGACCCCAACCTCGACACCTTCCAGACGAGTATGCAAAACCTATGCTCCCGACTCCAGACCTCCGCTCCGGTATCCCGTTCGCATCTCGTCTCCGGAACCTCCGGTCTTAGCTCCGACCTCGGACTTTGACCCCACCTCCGCTTATACCCATTGTATTGGTTAGCTCATTCCATTTAATTACCTTTGCCAATATTCCGGAGTTTAACCTCCGAGTTCGGACTTTCCGGACTTACTCCGGACCTTGCAACTATTGCATTGTCCATTTCAATTCCGCTATTCTCCCTCATTCCTATTTGGGCTGCTGCTTCTTTTCTATTCAGTCAGCTAGCCATTCCCGACTCCCATCCTCCTTCCTTCCTTCTTGGGCCTTGGCCCTTCATTCCTCCTTTGGGAAACACCATTGAGTCAAACACTTGACCCTCGGTGTTGTTCCCCTTTCCATCTCCCTTTGTCTCCTTTTGTCCTACCCTTGTTCCTTTTGATTCCGGACCCCTCCTTATATACAATGTACCTAGTAACTTGTAACCTCAGTCCGAAATCGACATGAATTCCCCAAGAGACTTTCCCTCTGCTAGATCCGAAATTAGGGACCCCTAGGACAACCAGCAATGGCACAGCGCTCCGCCTGAGTCGCTGAGGCCAAGGTCCTTCCACGCTAAGTCTCCGATTCCACTCCGGAGTCGTCCGAATCCGCCCATTCTAACATTACCTTAGTCCCTCATTATCATGTGAGTGCAGCTGCCGATCGCCAGTCTACTCATAACAACAGTATGTGGTAAAGATGGGTGGCCACATTGCGATTTCTTGCTGATGCCCTAGTACTGGTGACAAGTTTTGAGGTTGAAGTGACAAGTTGGGTTATCTGACCTGAAGGTCATCAGAAATGAAGGAAATTTAGGCATGTGCAAATGGATTCCTGAAGTTAAGGTGTTAAGCATTCAATGATTTGATGATCCGCATGGTCCGGTCCTGGGCCCAACTATCTTTACTGCATACCCGCTACCCACCCCGAAATTTTTTTCCTTTCCACACTTTCCCCATCCACCCCTGAAGAGGAGCCCAAAGTCCTAGGCAATGGACCACCATGCGCAGAGGAGGGAGGGGAGGGGGTTTTGAGGTTTAGCCACTTCGGGGTGAAGTGGCATTAGAGGGAGGGTGGGGAGCAGGGTGTAGACCCTGCCGGATCCCCTGGGACTCTCCCACTAACGCCGCTACCTCGGCGCTACCACACCCCCGACCCTGCATACCCGGAGGTCAAGTGCTGCACAACCACCCTCCATACCCGAAGCGGGCGCAGCCCCGAGGCCGGACGCGATCATGGGGATGACACGACTGCAGCCATTGGGGCATCATGGGTTGGATGATGAGGGATGCAGGCTGGAGGTCGCCAAGTTGCGAGCAAATGATGGAGGGTGCTGAAGGACCCAAATTTTTTTCAGGCAAGTCTTAGGGGAGCACTGCATATGTGGCAATGGACGACTAGTTTAATTTTTTTTTAACTTAACTCTTATTTTTTCGCTGCCTTTCTTAACTTAGAATAGTTTTACATTTCCACCACCACATCATTTCCCACTCCCGCTCCCACCCGCTTTATTTTTGTTTTTGCTTTTGTTCTAACCACCTGAGGGACAGGTTACTTGGGGACTAGGGCCACTTCAGGGCGAAGTGGCTTAGAGGGAGGGTGATGTCAGGGCACATACCCTGACTTAGCCTGGACCCAGACCCACATCCGGACCCGCTCCACTTCCCGTGCATGCTTCCCGCACCGCATGATCCATGCGCCACATGCTCCGGTCCCCGGATCCTACCTTCATGTGACTTCCGGGTGGCCCCGGAAGTTTTCGCCATATTGGGGCCACTGTGGGAAAGTGAGAAGTTAACCTTCTTCTCACTTTCTTACCCACAGTAGGCAAGTGTAGCCTACTTTCTATTTATCTATACACTTTCTTACCCACAGTAGTTATTGCCCTGGACAGGGCTGTTCATAGGTTAGGCTGTGGGCAATAGAGAGGGGTCATGGGGACCCGGGGTCCATCCCCTGACAGCCAACTGTTAGGTGGCTCCCTCAAGGAGCCCCCATTATACCCACTGCTGGTACGCTCCTCGGAGTGCCAAGTTACCACTAGCATGTCACCACACCCGCTGCCGGTATGCTCCTCGGAGCGCCAAGTTACCGTTAGTACACCCAGCCTCAGATCTCCTCCTGCTCTCCCTTCAACGGCTATGCAGCCACCTCCATCCATGAGCAAGAACGGCTCAGGTTGGGTTCCCTGGAACCCATTCCTGTAACACACGAGCTCATACAAGCTGTTAGAATGTGCGGATTCGGACGACTCCGGAATGGAATCGGAGACTTAGCATGGAAGGACCTCGGCCTCAGCGACTCAGGCGGAGCGCTGTGCCATTGCTGGTTGTCCTAGGGGTCCCTAATTTCGGATCTAGCAGAGGGAAAGTCTCTTGGGGGGGAATTCATGTCGATTTCGGACTGAGGTTACAAGTTACTAGGTACATTGTATATAAGGAGGGGTCCGGAATCAAAAGGAACAAGGGTAGGACAAAAGGAGACAAAGGGAGATGGAAAGAGGAACAACACCGAGGGTCAAGTGTTTGACTCAATGGTGTTTCCCAAAGGAGGAATGAAGGGCCAAGGCCCAAGGAGGAAGGAAGGAGGAAGGGAGTCGGGAATGGCTAGCTGACTGAATAGAAGGAAGCAGCAGCCCAAATAGGAGTGAGGGAGAATAGCGGAATTGAAATGGACAATGCAATAGTTGCAAGGTCCGGAGTAAGTCCGGAAAGTCCGAACTCGGAGGTTAAACTCCGGAATATTGGCAAAGGTAATTAAATGGAATGAGCTAACCAATACAATGGGTATAAGCGGAGGTGGGGTCAAAGTCCGAGGTCGGAGCTAAGACCGGAGGTTCCAGAGACGAGACGTGAACGGGATACCGGAGCGGAGGTCCGGAGTCGGGAGCATAGGTTTTGCGTACTTGTCTGGAAGGTGTCGAGGTTGGGGTCGGACCCGGAATGTTCCGGAGTTGGACCGAAGGTGGTGGCCGAGCCGGAGGTGGGATAACCTCTTGGGAGTCGGCAAGGAGAAGGTGACGGAAGGGAAGTAGGGCTCTGGAAGTCGGAGTTCGGAGTTCCGGGAGCCCGGAGCGGAGGTCGGGATTGTATGGATATGACACAAGCGGACCAATGGAATGGAAGTCCACTCAGCATAAACAGCATCCAGCCACTCAAACACATCCTTACATGTGTTATACCTGACGCCCTCATCCCTATAACTCCACAAAGCCTCGCGACATGGGATCCCAATGACAGCGTTGACATATTCACATGCAGAAGTCCACCATCACATGCGATCACCCAAAACAACAGCGGCCTTGAGATTGTCGGCAAGGATGCCTATCGCGTTGTGAGCTTTCTCTATCGCCTCATCGCATTCAGGTGTCTCCCAGTAGTCATCCCCACCCTTGGGCAGAATCTTGTCAGAGGGCAGATCCCTACCATCAAGCCAGTACATGGTGAGTTTCCATGGCTGCACATGCACGAGTGAGTGTCTGGAGGGTGCAAATACACAGGTAGAGTGCTGTCAGCATGTGGGGGACGTGGAAGAAGTGTGTGGAGGGTCCAGAAGTTGTGATTGTGAGCCTGGGGAGCCATGAACATGAAAGAAATAAGCAGATTGAGTACAAGCACACATCTCTAGGTGTTACGGGGATGGGGGAAATTCCCCATTCCTCGATCCGTTCTTATAGTGGGATGAGTGAGGTCATATCTGGTCTGTACCATAACAGGATATGTAATCGATGAGTGATCCCAGTCTTGCCTGGGGGTGGACGATCGAATTCCCATCGATCGTGATTGGTGATGTAGTGAGCTATTAAGGGATTGATGGTAGGTAGTCGGAGATGCCAGGACGGACGGGTCAGCCATGGGTACTTGGCGCTCCTCAATGGAGCGTACCGTGTGTGAGGTCGCGACTTGTGAGATGGGTGAGAACTTCATATAGTTGCCATCGGGTACTTGGCGTTCGCAGTGCGAACGTACCGGTAGCGGGTTGATGTCATAAGCGTGCAATGAGGACTGACTAGTAGGGCCTTCGGTGACTTGGCATTCCCAAAGGGAACGTACCGTTGGCGGGGAAACATGATGACTGGTGAAGGAGGGAACAGACGGTGGATGGGCGGCGACTTGGCGTTCGTGTAGCGAACGTGCCGGCATCACGGGAAGGTGGGCCTCAAAGTATTCACGATCTCCATGATCGTGAGGTGACGTCGTATGTTGAGTACTGGGGGGAGAGCGGAGTGATGAAGACCCATAGGGTACAGATTCAATAGGACAATACACATGTTGAGAGTCTTCGACTCTCGACCTCGAGTTCTCGCGGCGAGGGCCGTTAGAGAACTCAATATAACCAGACTTATAAGACATATTGAGAGTTGTACAGTCACATGGGTTCAGTTGAGTCACAGGGAGGGTTGTTACAGAAGACGGTACACGAGACAGTTGTAGAGCAGTTGTTAGTTAGCGGGAACCGCCTTCGGCGGTTTCTGTACAAGACGCGTGACTATCTACAAATGGTAAGGTCATGGGAAATCCCACGAAACACAAACAACCTCAGCCAGCACCAAACCCCAATGGGGAAAGCTTTGCACGAGGGGGGGAAAGGGTAGAACGGGTAAGGAGGATAGGGTATCGGGATAGAGGATGGAAGGGAGAAAGAGGGGAGGAGCGATAGAGAGGGGAAGTCTTTGACCATGCAACGGATATGGTCGTTGGAGACTCCATATCCGTAACACTAGGTGTGCATGGGCATGTGAATTTCGATTGAGAATGGCCTAATCAACACAAGTGCGCATCTGAGAGTTGCACGCATGTGGATTGCATGTGGGAAAGGTTCCTAGAGCGTACAAACGTGTCTAGAAAGAAGCGCACCAGTTGGGTGTGAGAATAAGCCAAATAAGTATATGCGTGTGCAAGAATCGCACAAATTCTAAGCCGATTAAGCCTAAAAAAGTGTAAGGTCGGTGTGGGTTCCGACCTGGGTGACTCCTCAGTCCTCTGGCTGTCAAGATCGTAGGCTGTATCAAGCTTAGATTTGACAGGGGTGAGGGTAAAGAGTAAAGAACCCTTTTCCTGAGCCCAAGCCATACAAATGTAAATACAGTTGTTTACATTGTATACAAAGAATAAAGAAAGTGCGCTTTGCGCACATCACCACTCTACCACCCATCCCTTACACAGACACCATCTGCCACTGCTGGGCCAAGGCCAGAATCCTGCCCTTGTGCACACAACTGCAGAAAATGGCAATACCTTTGTCAATGCTTGTCAATTCAGAGGACCCATCACCATCAGGCAGAGTGGAAGGAAAGTCACAGTGGGACAAGGACATACCGATGCCGGAATCAATGGACCCAATCACTATTGCCAATGTTCACATAGAGGAAGGCCTGAACAGTCTCCAGTCAGTCTTCAGCAAGAGAAACAGAATGAGCATAGCCAAGCTGGTAGACAATCCATCAGAGATCATTCATGCTGCAGATGTCTCCGATGATGATATTTTCAACGCCATGTCCAAGGCATGGGAGAACAGGGAAAAGGACAACATTGCAGAAGGAACCCATGATGCCAACAACTCCGATGATGACATGCCTGCTGTCTCATGTAAGGATGCCATTCAGGCAGCACTCCTGCTGAAGACTTACACCAAACAAGTGAATTCTTCCTTTGCATGGAAGATGGAGTCCATGTTGGCTCAGTTTGGACATGAGACCCACTATGAAGCCCAATCATTGCTCCACAGCAGCACACTTGGTTCTTACTTCAAAAAGATTGAATAGAGTGATAGAGAGGTGACATTGATAGACATGGTGGTAGAGGTGATTGACGATAAAGATTTATGTAAACATAGCATGTGCCCGTGAGAAATTTGAGGTAGCCCATACCCGTCATTACCCACACCTAAATCCGGGAACACAAGGTATGGGTTATCACGGTTTCAACTGTAGTACCATATTACTGTGTTCCCGTGATGAGTAAGAGGTGCTAATTCCCCGACTTCAAAGGCAAAGTCAAATCTAGTACAGCCTTCCTAGAGAACATGTCTCCCCTTCCGCCCTTCTCTCTCTTCTGCATCGTTTAATCTCTTCAAATGCCACTTTGTGAGCGTTGCGAATGCCATTGCAGGCAATAATGCGACGATGTTGACGCTAAACGCAAGCAGATATTGAGGTGGGCCGGTGTAAAGATAGGAAGTCCAAATGTTTGTCTGACGAGAATCAAGGGAGTACACAGTGAATGGATTAGAGGAAAGTAGGAGCTGGCGAGTAAGGTGTGACATACTGAATTACATATCGAGTTCAGAAATGCGAATGCAGCCGCACGTTTCTCAGGTGGTTGATCAATTGTTTGCTGGGATTTGGGAAGTCACAACCAGCGTGAGCGTCAGAAGGTTCACTGTGAATGCTGTAGAGGATATAAACGCACAAAGATCCAGCTCCATGTGACAGACATTGAGGCAAAGATGGAGGCAGGAAGAAGTAGCATCGCGAAATATCTTGGTGCAACCGCTGTCGTTGACAAAATAATAGCGTGCGCTAGGGCCGCTACAATGAGCGGGCAGATAATATGATTGAAGCTAGATCAAACGGAGTATTCCAGGTCGGTCTCTGAAAGGAAGGAAGAGAAAGAATAGTAATAAGGGCTTACCGTGTTTGTGTCTTATCCGAGTGAATGCCATTAAGCAGCATAAAAAAACAGCACAGAATGTACGGAGGTGCTGTTAAGAGGAGTGTCATGTTCCTGGGATAACCCAGGGTCTGCACAATCGCTAAAAGGGTAAGTGCTACGGTCAGTTCTGTAAGGCAGGTCATATTGGAATGAGACGGACAAGGGAAGAAGTTCGTAATGGCAGAAGTGATATCTGTCGAGGGGATCAGGCTAACAATTCCACGCCGACCATCGATAAATGAGTGTCTTACAAATTCCCATCATGACGCCAAGGAACATCCACACCTTGCCATCCACAAGCACCATCTGCAGCGCCTCCCATATACTTATTCTACCCTTGATCTTTCCTCTCATATTCAAGCCTACCGCCGCAGCTTCGTCAGGACTTCGAAGGGCGGCATCACGCTGGAGGCGCCATATTGCGAATTCATGTTGCTCTGGGTTGAGGTGCGAAGATGTGGAGGATGATGGAAGGTCCGGGAGGATGAGCATGCTTATCAAGGCGACTGACACCGTTACAACTCCCTCGGCTATGATAAATATCGAACAGACGGAACATGTGTGACGGTGGGAATGGTGAGGAATGGTGAGGCTCATGCTTACTGAGGAACAACCATCGCCATCCTGCGATACCGAACGTTCCGTCCAGTCTAAGTAGGCCAACTGCTATCAGATTCCCAAATGCATTACCTATTTGGGCACCACTTTGGAGAAATGCAGTGCGGAGTGCAAGCTCTTTTTTGGTGTACCACGATGAGATATAATACTATGCAACGAATACCACACGACCAGCCCCAGTAAATTAAAGTGAGAGACATGGTCTGATGAAAGGCTTACTAAGGCGCCGGGAAAGAATGCGCTTTCAGCGAAACCCAAGAGGAGCCGACATAGCAGTAAACCGGTGAAATTCCGTGTGAGCCCAGTACACGCGGACAGAAAGCCCCAAACGACCATACAGCCACATAAAAAATATGCGGGTCGAGCGATGCGTGAAAGAATTATATTCGAGGGGACTTGCATGGATACTTTGTTGGGAATCATCGCTCTGGGTGAGAAGCCCGGACAGGTTCGAAGTAGAGGCACCTACTGTACCCAATGTAGAGAATAGAAATGCTTGTGGAGATGGCACGAATCAGTCACCGCACATGCACTATCAAGGAAAAAGCGTACCAAGTGTCGTACTGTTTTTCTGTCAGCCCTAGGTCATTTTCGAGATTTGCAAGTCTTGCAGAAGCTATATTATTCTAGTCGAAGGAGATCCGTTAACCATGTTATACTGAAACTTCAGGAGTGCCCGAGTGGTATAGAATATCACGCACTCTATCAAGGAAGTTTAGAATGTAAATAAGAACTAAAAGGGGCATGAGTTGCATATCGATCTTTCTCACGACATCGCGCTCGAAAGAAGATAGACGCCGCTGGGACCATGATCCAAACGGCGATAGGGGGAGTTCAGAAACAGGTTGAAGGAAAGGTGTCGTCTCGGTATATGATGTTTCTGTTGAGTCGCCTTGAGAAGGGGTGCTTTTTGTTTGGAATTGAAATTTGGCCAGATTCAAAGGCACGCCCATGAAATGGACGAGCAAATCAGCCCATTCCACACAAATGGAGCAGCGCGTTGAGTACCCACTGATCAGATAAATCCATGAGGGATCCAAAATGCCCAAATTATCAGATACAAGGGTGGTAACGGAGGCCAAAGTTGTAGCGTGAGGTGCCTGGGGCTTCCAAATGTGATGCAATACGCTTCTAGCCACACGCTAGATTAAGCTGAGTAATCGTTATGAACGCACACGTCCTAATTAACGCACGATTTCTAGAAAACTTCTGTGCGTTCCTTTGCCGACCAGCTTGACAGGTCAATTCAATTCGTTTGGCCAAGCGTGACTTGGGTTATGTAATGCAATTCCATGAGCGGTCCATCGTAGGCAGGTCACCAGGGTCCATCGCACCTCTGGATTGCCGGGACAAGATGGCGATGGTTCCGTGTGTGTTCCGGGCTTAGGCAGGACTCCAGTAGGCAGGAATCCCAGGAGGGCTTCAGCCTCTATGATACATGAAAATCAAGTCGGAAATAACATAATTCCGTTCGATTTTAGTGGGCCTGTCCTCCTGCGTCCGGGTGGGGCTCGAGTCACACTTTACAGGTGATGGTTCTGTCGATTCACTCATGGTCGCATGACTAAGCAGGAGCGCTGGTCTCTAATGCAGCGTACAGCGAGTTATATAAATATAGGGATTCTCAAGACGGTAGAATGATGAGGGTCAGTTGGTAGTGTCGAGGATGCATGCCATATAGAAAAATAATAAGGGACAGAGGCTGCGGGCCGCTACCGCCCCCCATGGGGATTCGGTGGGGAGCGCAACATAGCGGCGAAGGGATTGGTGTATCAACCATCACTACATACCTTAGCGGTGGGGGAAGAAAGCCCAGGATGAAGAATGGATGTGGATACGCGTGATAATGAGGATGACGGATGGTTGGGATTATAACGGTGCACGGACAGAAGGCGGTAATTTAAAAGAGATCAAAAGGATGCAAAAAAGATAAAAAGAAACACGGACAGGAGAAAGAAGGCCGTACTTTAACACCGATGCAGTTTTGGCTCTTGAGAGAATGGCCTTTCGTCCCCGGATTCTCATGGTGTGATTATATGCGGTTCCATCTTGGTTGTTTTGGTCATTTCTGGCGAACTCAGCAAAGGCTGAGCCCGATCCAACCGAGTGATGGTCAGCATCTGCACGCCCATGTTCAATTCTCCCAACTTAAAAAGCCCACCCTTACACAGATCTGGTAAAGCGTCCCTGCTTGCTATAGAATATGCCTTCCTTCCTGCCCTTCTTTCTCTTCTTCGTCGTTTAATCTCTTCATCTTATGAGCGTCGTGGATGCGATCGCGAGCAACAGCGCAGTTATATTAGTGCTAAAAGCGAGCAGGAGTCTAAATGTGGCTCTGATGAGAACTTGGGGGAGCACCCGCCAGTGAATGAATTGGGGAGAGGTAAGAGCTGGTGAACGGAATGTGACGCACTGACATATTTATTGAGTTCAAGAAATGTAACTGCAGCTGCACATTTCTCGAGTGGTAGATCGATTGTTTGAGCGCTGGAACTGGGGCAGTCACAACCAGTGTGAACGTCATAAGATTCACTGGAGATGCTGTGGAGATTTACACGCGCAAACATCCAGTTCCATATGACGGTCATCGATGCGGAGACAGATGCAGAAAGAAGCAAGCATCGCAGTCGCTGACAAAATAAGGGTGTGCGCTAGGACCGCTACAATGAGTGGGCAGATCAGATGGTTGAAACAAGATTAAATGGAGCACTTGACATCAGTCTCCGATGGAACAAGGATTATGGACCTATCGCTTTTGCGTTCAGTCTGAGTGAATACCATAATGATACGGCACAGAATATATGGAGGTGCCATTAAGGGTGCCATGTTCCTAGCATAACTAAACTAAAGTCTGCACAACCGCTCAAAGGGCAGGTTACAGTCAGTGCTGTATAGCAGGTCATGCTGGAGATTTGTGATGGCAGCAACAATATCTGTCGAAGGAAAGGATCAAGAGGGGTAAGACTAAATTCCACGCCAATCGTCAATAAATGGCTTCTCACAGATACCCATCATGACCCCAACAAACATCCACGCCTTGTCATCCGCAGGCACCATCTGAAGCGACTTCCAATGTTTATTCTATCCCCAGTCTCGTCCCTCACGTTTAAGCCTACTACAGCAGCTTCATCCTCAGCACCTTGCTGAAGGCGCCAATTACAAGGTCACGTCGCTCTGGATCGAGGTGCGAAGATATGGGGGATGAAGGAAGGCACAGAAGGATGAGCATGCTTATAAAGGCTACTGACACCGTTACAACTCACTCAATTAAGATAACAATGATACCCGAACGTGTATGTGATAGTGAGGATAATAAATTTTCAAACTTACTAAGAAACAACCGTCGCCATCCTATGATGCCAAACATTCCATCCAATCTGAGCCGGCCGATTGCTATCAGGCTCCCGAACACGTCACCTATTTGGGCACCACCATGGAGAAATGCTCTGCGGAGTGCAAGATCTTCTTTGGTATACCATGATGAGATGTAATACTGTACGATAAAGATCACGCAGCCCAGCAAGTTGGAGTTAGAGACATGGTCTGATGAAAAGGAATGCGCTTTCCACGAAACCCAAGAGGAGCCGACAGAGTAGACCGGTACAATTGCGTGAGGCCAGCGCAGGCAGACAAAAGGTCCCAGACGACCATGCAACCACATAAAAAATGTGCGGGTCGAGTGTTACGCGAAAAGATTACATTCGAGGGTACTTGCACGGATACCTTGTTGAGAATTGTTGCTTGGGTGAGAATGCTGAACAGGCCAGAAATAGAGGTACCAACGTAGAGCCTGAGAATAAACATGCTCGTGGGGTTGGTACGAGTCAGTCGCCGCCAGCAGCGCGCATGCACAATTAGAGCAAGGACTTACCAGGTGTCGTACTGTTTTCCTGTCAGCCCCAGGTCACTTTCGAGGTTTCCAAGTCTTGCAGAAGCTATATTACTTTGGTGGGAAGAGGGAGTTCATTGAACATGTTATACCTTTGACAACTTCGGGAGTGCGCAAGTGGTACAGAAGATCACACACTCGACCAAGGATATTTGAAACACAAATGAGAGCTGTAAGGGGTATGAATCGCATATCGATCCTTTTTTCACGACAGCTCGAAAGAAGATAGACGCCACTGAGACATGGTTCGAATGGCGACGTAGAGAGATCAAGAACGGGTTGGTGGAGAGGTGTTGTCTCTGCAGTTGATGTTTCTGTTTGTTCGTCCCAAGATACTCTTTTTTGTTTGTGGTTGAAATCTGGTAGTAGGCCAGATCCAAAGGCAGATCCACGAAGTGGGTGAGCAAATCAGCCCAATTCAGAATGCATACGCAAATTGGCCAGAATGGAGCGGCAAGTTGAGTGCTCACTAACAGGAGGAATCCAAATAATGAGGTACATCCAAATCGGGGGCGGTAACGCAGATCAAAATTACAGCGTGAAATGGGGCTCAATAAGGTACTGACTACACGCCAAATCACGCCAATTGCAAGTAGCTGTCGCGAAAACACGCGTCCTGATCGATTAACCAGTTTCCAGAAAACTTGATCTCGTTTAGAAGCCTTCGATACATTTCTGCTGGTGGAGAGGAGATGGAGTTGTTCATCTTAGGCTCCTCGTGCATGGAAGCGCCAAGGGCACTGCGGAATAAATTACCAGCGTAAACACTACTAGTGTCACTTGTGTTGACGTCACTTGTTTCCCTAAAACCGGATCACCTTAAACATCGTAATACCCGGTATGTCCATAACAATTAAAGGACAGATCCATCAACTGGTATTGTAAACAGGTACAGTCGTGTCAATTAAGAATGGAAGTAGGCAGCAGTATACGGATTGTTTCAAGAATCGTGTTCAAGACCAAATTACGTGCTCAAACCGCTATGAATCATCTCCCCACACCTGGTGCAATACACTTCCCTGTCAATGAGGCAGCACAGCATCCCGACGGGGAAGAAGACGATCGCACTAAGTAAGCCCACTATTCCCCAGTATGTCGGCCCCGGAATATGGTGCCCCTCTTGAAGACAAATCATCGCAGGGTGATCCGGAGGAAGGTGCGTGGAAACCACATCACCCGTTTCAGGGTTCTGGAAGTGATAAAGGGTCTGAGTCGGATAGGGGGATACGGCTTGGTATCGGGGTTGGGCTTTTGCGCTAGGGTGTGGAGGTCCCGGTGGAGAGGGGTAACGCAACGCTGCTCGCTCATTGTATGGGAAGAGCAAAGAGGTCTGCTTAGGGGTAGTGGATACATGCTGAGGAGAGGTGGATGAGACATTCAAAGCGCCAGTGTCCCCGATCTCTCGTGAAGAAGGGCCCGCAGTGGGTTGCGACGAAAGGATGTTGGATGGCCCTGAAATGGTTAATGCCATGAGCACACCCCAACGCGTGAGGCCCAGTCTACCCACCTCTCGAAGGAATCTCTTCGTTCGTAGCAAGTTGGTATGAAGGAGGTGGTCCAGTGGGCGCAGGAGGTGTAACTGACGTGTCGAGTGGATTCCCTTTGGCCATGATTAACCAAAACGTGTGGGAAATCGAGAGTCGAGAGTCGAAAGTGGAAGAGATTCTGCTGAGCAATCAGCTAGAGTGTTAGGCAGGTGACCAGCCTCTCTTTAGCGGAAAGAGATAGGAGTGCTGCGGTCGCAGTGCACAGTAAACAGATTGTAAAAAGCGATGAAGGGCCGGCACTACCCCTGTAAGTCAAGGAAACTGTCTCGATCCCTTGTAAATATGACAACCTACCAGTTTGATCATTGATGTGCGCTCTTTGGAGCGCGGCAAGCCACTGGCACTGATGATCAACTCGGCCAACTCCTCCGCTTGAGCACGTGCCTCGAACCCGAAGTAACCCCAGGAAGGTTGGCCAACGGCCTCTAGTCGAGACGGATGCCAAAGGAGGGCAATTTGGTGCCCTTCAACGCGTCAGCAGACAAATCAAGTACGTGGCTCTTTTATTGGAAGCTACCAGTGCTCTTAGTTACTCTGTCTTGCAGACACGAATGGGGCACATCACAAAGCAGCGAGCGTCTTCCGTCCGCCAACCAGCGAAATAGCCAACGCGAATGGCGTGCGGAGACCGAGTTCAGGGAGTAACGCGACATGTATGCTTTGCTCTATCGTCTATTATTATTCAGCAATCTGAGCGCCCACGCTGCAGCCATTATTTCTCAACAGCCCTCATTGCCGGGATCACACAAACGTTCATTCTCTGAGGCTCATCTGAATCGCCCAAAGAAGAAGCCTCGACTTGACCGTCAACCTTCCGCTTTCGTGACAGGCTCATCCCGTCCAGTTCCACTTGCAGCTTCAACCTCGTCTAAGCCATCCGTGTCCAATACAGCTACACCAGGGAAATCCCCTGGTGTCTCAGCATTAGGTAAGTCCTCGAATGGCATAGAAGATTTGCGTACACATTCCAACGGTTCGGCAACCAGCTTCCATTATCACCGATTCGGACTCCGAGATCGAGATTCTGGAACCACTAAATCGATTCCCTTCAGGGAAATCTATTCCACAGAAGAGACCTAGCACAGGCCCTGAAATCATTGAGATATCGTCGTCCGACTCGGAACCGCCTTCCAAGAGCACGAAACAGCCGATAATTCGTAAAAAGCGGCCCCCGAAAGTCAAAGAAAATGAAACCCCCCATAAAACGCCAAAGAAGAGTGTGCCTCCGATTGCCCCCGTAGCAACGAAACAAGCCCGGCCATCGTCCAGCCTCGCAACCCCAAATACTTCCGGTTCTACCACAGCCAAACCGGTGCTATCACATTCCGCCACCGCACCACCTCCTGTTGGACGCACGGTGGCTACTCCCATGAGCCAAGCTGAAGAAGGCTTGAGCCGGGTCCGCCAGTTAATTTCGGACTTCATCAGTGTCCGTTCTGTAAATGTTCCAGATACTAGTGACACTGTATCACCGAAGGTGCCTAACAGCACACCTCATGGGAATCCCTTGCCGTTCCCTGCGAGTTCCCGAGCTGACAAGGGAAAGCAAAGAGATCCTGGCGAGAATGTGGGTGATTGTGATAGAGGCAATACATCCCACCTGAACTGGTTCGTTCCCAGACCGGTTTTATTGAGCGTTCCGGCCTAAGGAAAGTAGCAGAGAGGGAAGTTATCGTGAGTTTCTCATATTTTGTGTCCTGAATAGTGTCTAAGGTGAACCTGCAGGACGTTGACGCGCAATCCCTCGAAACGAGGAAAAAAAGAAAGAGAAAGAGAAAGAAATTTCCCATACTCGTCCTCCGCGAAGTAAGTAACTTCCCCGTTCAAATGCCTGCTAGAAGATGCTCAATGCTTGAGTCAGGGAAAGCTCCCCTCAACGTCAGTTGGCTTGAAGAAACCCCTCTTCATTGAACCATCCGTAGGCTATATTCCCTCACTTCATTCCGCACTTAAACGACTCTGGTGCTAGGCTTCGTCTGAACTCTCGTCTCACACCTCCGAACCAATTGTCAGGAACCCCTCAAATCATAAAAATGATTTTGCCACCGAGCGACTTGTAACTAAGACAAAGAAAAAGGATCAGCAGCAATCAGCCATTGATCAAGTATTTACTTCTTGTAGGGATTTCTCTAGTTTTGGGTGGGCTAATGTGTTATTAACAGCTCCAGGCAGTTCAATCCCCTCCACCCATTTTGCACTCAAAATCTTTATCACTTGCGTCAAATGAAAAAGAGCCTTCTGCCATTGTACCCACTCTCATAGGTCAAAGTATCTCAGGTAATAAGACGTCGCCATCCGTCAAG